TAAAAGCAGATTCCTTGTTAATGTATGGGGATCCTAGAAAGACTCCTTATGGCAAAGGCAACATACCATGAGTACATTCACCCTACAAGGAATTACTATCCCTGATCCTTAAGAAGAGCATATAGCAAAATGTTATCACTTTCTAGGTGAGTACTAGAAAGAGGGAGCTATTTTGGGGTACCATGTGTGGTTTTTTCGCCTTTTTCTGTAGGTAGGAAAAACCTTAAAGAACACAGACAAACCAGAGAACCCAGGTCCTGGTAGTACACTTTATATAATCACATCCTACCTCACTGTGCAGATCTCTGAAGATAAACTGGAACAAAGAGTGCACAGACTCCCTTTGGGGTGGATGGCAGGGTGTGCTGCTTCTTGCAAAAGTGTATACAGACATGCAGCTTTCAAGCTGTTTCTCCCTTTGAGAAGCCCTAAAGTTTGGGCTCCAAGTGAATTCAATTAACAAAAAGAAACATGAATGCCACCATTCTTGTTTTCAAAGCTCATTCACAGTTATACTCTGTTAACTAAGAGCTCATGATAGCTGAAAGCTCTATCCCTGGAAAGCTGTCACAGGAGATGCCTGCATGATGCTTGGGCATGATGCTCTGCACTTGAGCTGAACAGAACAGGCCACATGGAGTTGGCTCCTATTCAACAAGCAAGATTTTGAAATAAAGAGCTATGTGTTTGGTGTTTGTTTTTTTTGGGGGGGGTGTTCTGTGTTTTGTGTTTTTTTTTTTTTCTTTTTTCTTTTTACGAGGCACACACAAACCTGTCTTCAGCTGCTAACCTTAATATATTACTCATTCTTCCTTTCAAATAACGTCATGTTCAAAACCCCGGTGACTGCAGAATATTTACTTGAGGCTGCTACTGCTGATTTCTCTAGAGCTGCTTATTTTTCCATGCATGAGCTCATTACATCACTCTGTGGTTTTCTTAAAGGTTGTGAGAGTAAGCTGGATACAGGCTGGAATCTCTTGCTAACTAAAACCAAATCACTAAGGAGCACAAACGGATCTGGAGATAACCCCACTCTGGAAATGAAGAACAACCATGGATTTGTCAGTGGAGATGGGGTGCTCCAAAACAGGCAGCCATTAGATTTAGTGTCTTGAAGGCAGGATATATTATCAAATGTTTCCCTAGATTAAGAACTGTAAAAGAATAATTATTTGAACTGTTCCAGGCTGGAATAGGTTGGGGGGGTGGGGGGGGGAGGAGGTAGGAAACTAGTAGGCTGAAACAGTAGAAGTAGAATGAAGAGATAGTTCCCATCCATGCTGATTCAAGAATGGCCATTGCCAAGGTCCCATCTGTATCGCCTTCTGTTCTGGCAATGTTAGAAATACATGACACAGAGGGCAGTGCTAAATAACAGGCTAAGTTTGGGGTATGCATCTCTATGCACACGTGGGTGTGCATGTTTGGGGAAGGTGAAAATCAATTCAAAACAAACATCAAAAAAAATTTTTGCCATCTTGCCCAGGAAACAAAACATTGTTTTGATCTAGATCTTTCACTTGCCCTGAAAAGAAAAACTGACTTTTGGGCTTTTAGGATTCATAAAGGCAGAAGACTTAGTTTGTAAGTGTAGAAAATCAGTAACTTTTCTGCTACTCAACAATCCAGATGTTAGAGCATGTTCATATTTTGGTTCCTGTCTCTGGCCGAGAAGATTTGAACCTGCACCTCACCCTACTGAGAAAGATCTAGTCATCATTTCGTGCTGGGGTAACAACACTAGCGATCCCTTCTAGCAATGCTGTTTTACTTAGTGCAGAAAAATTCACTGGTAAAACACCTGGAGACATACAGATTCTCACTCAAGTGCTCTAATCACCAGGCTAGAGTCATTCTGCTTTTCCTGATCCCTAGCTTAATTAGTATTTACACATGCCAAGTAAAACATAAGTGCTCCAAAAGAGAGAACTGCTTCAAGAGAACCTCTTCTGTTTGTCAACACTAAATGGAAAGTGGAACACTCAGATTTCAAACGCAGCTCTTAGGAGATACAGGCTGCATTTGCAACACGGGGTGTCACCAGCTCTTCAATGCTCAGCTAGCTGGTGGTTGGTTCACTCTGAAGCCTATCATTGACCAGAGAGTGACACCAAATTACAGCGCCTAATTGTCTCCATAAAGCAATTCTTAAATTCTCCTCATGGTTGGTAATAGTGATGGTGCTAGCTTTCCAAGATATCCAAAGTCAGTGCTGATTAGAGAGCAGCACATGACCTCTGACTAATATCTACTGGATTTCTCTTCACTGTAAAGGACAGGACTATATAACCACCACAGGGAGGAGACAGATCAGGGTTAAGTATTTCACCAAACAAACTCTGAGGAATAGGGCAGGCTTTGAGGAACTCAAGACTAATGAAAAAGAACAGAAATAAGAGTTAGGCTGGGTATTACAAAAAGAAAAACCCTGAGACTGAATTCAGACAGCAGAGCAGCTTCCTGTGGGAAGGAGTGAAATCTTTACTGCATAAGGCATTTATGCTACACTAGAAAATGTTGCTCTTGATACAGTACAAACATTCACTAGTCCTAAGGTCGTAGATTAGATGACCTACTATGTCTTTTCTCACCTCTAATTTCAGTGATCCCATTAAACTGCTGCAAGAGGATACCAGGATGTACCTGCAAGCTCAGAGAGTCAATATAGCTGAGTAAATACCAAAAATTCCATCTTGCACTAGTAAAACCTACCTTAACCCTTTAAAAATAAATGAAAAATCAGAAATGTGCTGAGCATTGGTATGTCAAGCTGACAAAGGCCAAAAGCAATTAAAAACATCCCCTAATTTTGCATGCCCATCTCGTGACAGCTGTTTCATCATCTTCAGCCAAGACAGACTTGGAAGACATTTGAAGAATCTGATTCTAATGATAATTATCCTCCCCAGCTCTTTGTTGTTTGATCCCACCTACCCTACATTGCCTTCTAACATGTATGACAAGGGATGAAAAGAATGAAAGGTACCAAACAGGGGGAGTAGGCTTCAGTGTTTTAAAGAAACAGACTAAAGTAGCCCAGACCTAGCATCAACTAAACCATAGCCCTATTTTTACGAGGCAGAATTTGTCGATATCAATAACTCAGTGTAAGAAATGGAGATGGCTGTGTACTTGTACGGCCCAATATGGAAATTTGGGGCTGAAATTTGGCAACCCAGTCTCTTAATGAGATCCTACAGCAGATGAGCATCTGTCAGGGCAATCAGTAAGGCTGAGTCAGATGAACCACACATCTCCTTTTAGCTTGCTATAGAAACCACCTCTTACAGAACTCTTGAATTTTCCAGAGTAGCATGCACCCACAACAATCTTGTTTGAATACCAGAAATGACATCAGAACCAACTGAAAAAAAAAAATGGACAAAAGTAAACTCACAAAAGGAACCATTCTATGAACCAAACTCCAGTTTACATTAAGCAGCTTCCTGAGGAAACACTTGAACAAATTGATTGCCTTTACAATGTGAAAGCCAGCCTACTTGCGGCTCTCAAGCAAAAGACCCTCCCATTCCCAAGTCCCTTTGCAGCCTCCTAGAACCCAGATCTAGGAACTCTTATTTCCATTGTAGCTACCAGGTTTGCTGCATGAGAAGGTTGGTTTCCAAGATAGTTAGGACCCCATTACATAGGATTTAAATATTAAACTGTCACCTTCAGTTGCACTGTGAGGTGCTCGTTGTCCCAGCAGCTCACAAAACACAAGCTGCATTTGCTTTCCCATGAACGACATCCTCAAAGAAGAATGTTGATAATCCTACACCACCTGAAGCATCTGAATGATTCCCACCTGGCAGTTCCTACACAAACCACCTTGCTACAAAAACAGTCAGGAGGTAAGACACAGGAGACTGTTCCTAAAACTGGAGTCTCAACAATGATGGATGTCCTCCTGCCAAGAGGTCTTCTCCACTCTGTAGCAAAAGAATCTCACCTAACCTGGCACTGATTTCACCCTGCACTTGGGAAGTGGCAGTGAAAGGTTAAGGGAACTCCCGAGTGCCATGAACACTCTTTGGCTAATCCAGAAAGACCAGGGGACAAGGTATTTCAAGCTATCACAATTTATTTGTTCTGGGGACTGGAGTTATTCCCAACAGCTGTTCTAGGCATATATTGTTTCATAAAATATATGCAATAGTAGCAGCTCCCATTTAAACCTTAGAGTAAACCCATGGCTTCTTCAGACAATTTTCTTCTTTCAATATTCCCTTTTTATCGTCTTCCTTTCTCCCACTTCAGTTAAAATATATCAGATAGAAATCATTCTTGCCAAGAATCCCTAACTTTCCTCTTCAGATTCTTCCGGTTTCTTGTGATTTCAGTGACTCCAGAGTTCCACCCTCATCTCCAATCTTAAGTTTAACATCCTAACTTCACATCTTCCTGCTCCCCCTCTTCCCACTCGCATTCATCTTTACTGGTTTTTATGCTTTGGGCTTCCCTCATCCGCTCTATTACCCACAAAAATACTCTCAACATTTACTTAGGCTCAGACATAGTAACCTACTTTCAGTTGTGAAATGATCCAGTAATTTCTCTATCAAAAAATATCTCCTGCAGAGAAGAATCTTGCAGTTGCTAGAAAAGAAGCCCCTCTCTCTTCTCAACTGCTTAGACCAAAACCTCAGCCCAGATCTCAGAGCCAAATGCATCAGTTTGTACAGCCATGAAAGACTGCTGAACAGCAAACAGAATAAAGATGACAGCTAGCTGGGATGAATTCAAAGATGAAGAAATTCAAGGTTCCCCAGTTATGGTTCGGGGAGGTAGAAACATCCCTCATCACACATCAACTGTGGCCTTCTGGACACAAAAAAGGATGCTATCTGAAATTATTTTATAGCTTGCATTTCAAGTCCTGGAACACTGAAAAGCAGCAGGATAACTACAACGAAGAAAGAGTGAAACAAGAACAAATAGTGAGGGACTGCAGCCTAGTTAAAAGAAGCCTTTTTTTATTCCAGATGCAATGTTACCTGAATTCCTTATACTGGAGCTGTTCAGTTTGGAATCTTTGATGACCAAGTGCTTAATCCAAAGGGTGGGTGCTGTGATTTCTGAAAGAGAAAAAATAACCTCCTTAAAGAAACTGCAGCAACTATTGAATACACATGGTTGTTACTCGTGAGGACAAGATGTTTGCTACAATCATGCCTTAAATGATCCATCATCTTGGTAGAGACTAGCTCATCCCGAGAGGTCTTCCACCTTTTATGAACCACTATTTGTAAATCTTCTACAAGGTTATTTCATTATCTTCCCATTCCAGAGAGTACCTCTCTGCTGGCAAAAACTTTTTTTTCCTCTCTCTACCCTCCACTTCCTAAGTTTTCAAGTCTAAAGCCTTTCTCCTAATGACTCAAAGGTCATGTGTTGTGTGCTATAGTATATATGGATTTCCACTAAAGTACACATGAAATCCAGATTAAAAAAAGTCAATCCAGGCTTTTAATATTGCTTTAACAGCTCAAGAGCTGACAACAGTCAGTTCCCTAAAACAAGCAACAACAAAATCCGAAATTTGGGGCTGTTTAGTCTGGGGGAGGCTGAGGGGGGACCTTATTGCTCTCTGCAACTACCTGAAAGGAGGCTGGAGTGAGGCAGGTGTTGGTCTCTTCTCCCAGCTAACTAGTGATAGGAGGAGAAGCAACGGCTTCAAGTTGCACCAGGGGAGGTTTAGATTAGATATAAGGAAAAATTTCTTTACTGAGAGAGTGGTCAGACATTAGAACAGGCAGCCCAGGGAAGCAGTTGAGTCACCATCCCTGAAGGTGTTCAAAAATCATGTAGATGTGGCTCTTTGGGATATGGTTTAGAAGGCATGGTGGTGTTGGGTGGATGGTTGGACTTGATGATCTTAGAGGTCTTTTCCTATCTATGATTCTATGAAATAAATAGGCAGAGAAACGAAGATATTTCTGGAAAGACTTGAAAGGAAGTCTGTTAAAGAAACAAGTTCTGGTTAGAAAAGCATATCTGATGCACCACAAACATCCAAACAAATTTGTGGAAAAAATTGCTCAGAACACCTCCTCTGAGGTGTTACAATCAACTTCAAAATACAGCAGAACCTACCCTAAGCCACAGAAATTACACAACATCAGCATTTGATTAGAACTGAGCAAAGCAGTACTTGAAACCATGGTGTAGAGCTCCTAAAGTGCCATTTTCAGAACTGACATTTTCTGAAGAATTTTCAGTTTCCACAAGAGCATCCCTTAAGACAAACTCTAGGAGCTAGTATTTAAGTTCCTCTGAAAAGTTTATACAAGAGTTTTCCCGCTCCCTTATTGACACTTACATGGATCTGCTCAGCAAGGGAGAAGCTGGCTGACTACAAGACAAATTGATTGTACATAAGAGCACGAATGAAAAATGATAGGGAATTTTTCCTTCCTATGTGTTTTCAGTTACACTGATTGTAGGAGTTACTGTAATTATACTCAGGGCATTTTTTCATATGGAAATATAGGTTGAACACTGATATTCCAGCAGTCATAAAAGTTTGCTTCACAAAGATTGCCTTATCTGCTGGTTTCACTATACTATCATCACTCAGTCATGATGAGCTACTCTAAATACATATACCTATATACTTTGGGCCGTTTGTTGAGAGAACTACATCAAATTGAACACTGAGCGAGAGGTACGAAGGAGAGAAGCACAGAAGCAGAAAAAGTCTGTACACCAAAGTGCTAGATCCAGACTCCTAAACCTGTGACGAAATTTAGCCCTGGCTCTGCACTGTACGGACTGGGTATGTCTACAGCTGAAAAACAAGGGACAACCAAAGTCAAGAGATTCCAAAGAAAGGGTCAGGGCCTTTAGAGACACAATGATGCATGTCTAATTGAGGCTGAAAGGAGCAGAAAGAGGAATTGTGGGAAAAGAGGAGAAAGGAAAAGGAATTGAATCCTCTGGGATCTACCATAAAAATGTATTTTCCATCCAGTTAACCTAGACATTTTCTGGAATACAGGTAAGCAACGTAGACTCCTCTGAACAACAGATCTGTAGAAAGATTAGAATCCCACGGAGTTAAGAGGTGAAGTTTACCAAAAAGAGAACATGTGTAAAGAAGTTATTCTTTAGGAAATGAATACAACTTGCACATTGAAACTAAATAGAGGGTGGATACAAAGAAAACAGAGCCTTCATTGTAATGAAGTGAAATAGTTTTTAAAGAGGGCTGCTTTATGATACAAACCTTGAACAGAAGAGTTTAATTTATCTGATCTACATTATCTCTGGCATTGTTCTGTTATGGCCTCAGGGAAAATGGTAGGGAGTGGGAGGGGAACTTATTATGCCTGAAGTGTGAATTTTCATTATCTTCTTATGTAGGTGAAAACATAAGAAAGGTGAACCTTCACCTCAGATATTGAGGTCCAAGAGGTATCACACATTTCAGGGGCAGCTGAGTATTTAATGCCCTTTGAAAAAATGTCAGCCCCTTGTTGACTTAAGGTAGGCAAGCAAAAACAAAGCATGAAAAGAAATTCCACATTTTTATTGTCCATTCATGTTGCTATCAGCTCCATCTTGGTTGCCCAACTTTGAATACCCAGGTTTTCAGGAGCCCAGCAGATCTCAAACCCACTGAAACTGCATGGGATTTGGACTTTAACTCCTTTGAACACCTAAGAGGAGTCCAGACCTGACAGGTGAACGGATAACCGTTTCATCCTTTTCTGTCATCTGACATTTGTGTCAGACACCAAGTACGAGCCATTCCTCAGCAAGACCCACCCAAGACACTGAGAGAGTATTCTAGTGAAGTATCATGACATGTTTGCTCAGATAGAATCAAGGGATTGTTCAGGATGACATCCTGAGGCGTCTAGTCCAACCTTCTGCTCCAGACAGGGTCATCTGTAAGAACAGACCAGGTTTGCTCAGGGCTTTATCCAACTGGTTCGGAAAAGAAGGACAGAATATCACCTCTGAGCAATCTGTTCCACTGCCTCATTGTCCTCATGGTGACCAAGTTTTTTCTTATATCCAGTCCATGCATTTTGTTTCAATTCATGACTGTTGTGTCTCATCATGTATCACTGAAGAACCTGGCTCCATCTTCTTGATAAACCTTCCTGTAAGTATTGGAAGGCTGCTATTAGGTCATCTTTAATTCTTCTCTTCTCCAGGCTAAATGCTTCTTGCATTCTTCCTGATATACCCACTTTAAGCCACTGTTGGAGACAGCATGCTCAAAGGTAGTGGATTACACAAACTTTCAGTCAGACCTAGAATGGATTTTCTTGTGTTTATTGCTATAACTACCACTGAAATCTACTTAGTCCCATTTTACTAACAGGGATGACAAAAATACAGAGTGGCAAATTTAGCAGAGGTTATTCATCCATGCATAGCTTGATTAACCTGCCTGTCATATTCTCTTCTCCCAAGTCATACGGGACACTGCTAACACAACAGGAAGTCATTCTCTCTAGAAGTCTAAGAGATAAGGTCTTGTATAATACATTGCAAGATTTGAGAGGCAATCTTTCATCATACAGTCCAAGCCCATTTATCAGACTTGATTTCACCTACATATCAATGTGAAGGTTTTTGATTGAAACTGTTTTTCATAGAAGACAGGATAAGATCTTTTTCAGACTCTGCCTGTCACCAAAAGGACCAGAAAAGGTCTGTTCACCACAGCATTTCTCAAGAACTTTGTCCAGTTCTATTTGAATGAGCAAAATGTTGAGTCTCTCCTAGAAGGAGATTCTGAACAGGCTGCTTTAACCAGATCAGCTCACTCCTGCATTTTACTAGTGCATTCTTTCCTCTGAATATGTATAGGCAGCCTCTAAGGGGAAAACTTAAAGGCTTGTGATTACAAACAGCAATTTAATACAACAGCTTGCATTAAATCATCATCTTGCTGCCAGAAGGAACTTTCTTTTCATATAAACAAGAGATAGCCAGCAGGGCTTCAGTCTCCTTTGTTTATTTGAGAATGCTTTTAGCTCCAAGGGCTTTGTTTTGTTTCTTAAAGCTCACAAGAAGATTCTTACAAACTTACAATTACTAAATAGAAATGACAGGACTACAGCATCTTGCCATTAAATAAACTTATTTTAGCAACAAGAAAACCCCCACCCTGTCACCTGTTTTTACAAGATGACAGAAGTTAGGTGGGTCACAAAGTGGTTCGGACTTCAGTCCATAGCTTGACTATAATGGTTGTGGGTTTAAATCTGTCAAAAACATGCACTACTTCTAAGCAATATGCAAGATATAAGCAGCAGCTAATGGGCCCATTCACTACCCAAGGACCACTACTCCCTAATGATATTTATGTTTGTATGTGTAAAAGGCTTGAATGCTCTGTGATGACAGCCATTTTATCCTTGTTTCAAGGCTTCCAATGGACTAGAGTCTGATATTCCTTCTTCAAAATAATACAATTGCAAGATTAGCCCATTTAAGAAGGAAACTGCCTTGGTGGGCTGTGAAATTAAGTGGGCCCAGGACATTGACTTCGTTTGTTTAAATAGTGTGTGCGTCAATGAAAGTAATTACTAAATAAAGAAACCTCCCAGCAATTTTCTTCCAAGTCAACATTCACAAGCTGTGGTTTAGCACTACCCTCCCTTTCGTGAAGCTGTAACATGCTGCAGAGGTTATGAAACTCCAAGCATCGGTATCCTCAGGGTGGAGAGAGTGAGGGGGTAAGGACAGTCTAAAGGAAGTTGCCATTTCTGACCTGATGTACATTTCTTTTTGCTGTGACACCTTCTGCTCCAAGGTTACCCCAGCAGTCTGGTCAACTGGTGTTATTGTTGGATTCCAGGGAAGAGGGGAGGATGTAAAAGGATTAGGGAAAATGCTTGAGGTCCCAAGGGCACTGTGAAATTTGGATAACTTATGAGATTCACTGGCTTTTCTGCTTTGCAGGATAAAGAAATCATTTGAGCCATAAATCTTAAGGAAAAGGGAGAAGGAAGCAGCTTTTTTGTTGTTGTTATTTTAAGGGATGCTCTTACCTTCTCCATCGAAAACAGGCTGGGTTTCCATGGTAGGCGTTGGCTTCGAACCGTCATCTGAATTGAGGGTTAAAAAGAATCGAAAAGAAACTACCATTATTGAGGTAAATACTATCTACTCTCCAGCACTGTTGAATGATTGGGATTTGTACATGGCCCGGCCAAGTCCAGAAAAGAGAGAAGACAGACAGAACGAAAACAGTTTACATGAACAGCAACCACATTTCACATAGCAAGCATGCATCAAGCACTATCCTTAGACTTCAGGCTCTCCCCCTTCCTCCCCTCCCTCCACAAACCATTGGTGTGCATCACCTGGTAGTCTCCCCTTGTTGCACTGCTCAGGCAATTGCCTTTTTAGTTTCAGGTGGCTGCATCCCACCCAGGACATTTCCTGAGACACCAGGGCTCTGGAGATTGCTGTCCCACTGTGTCTTCCTCTTTTTTTTGTTCAAAAGAAAAACTCCTCTCCCGAAACTTACCTGTGCAGAACCTGGCACCAGCATTCACTGCAGAGCTGTTAAAGGGATGGTCAATTTCTTACAACATCTGCATCAAGGTGTTCTCTAATTGCAGAGTTGTGGCAATGTCTTCTAATTGCAAAATTGTGGAAAAAGAACTTCTCTTTTACATTAGGTTTTTCAAGTGCGAGAGTGCTCCATGTCTTCTGACCACAAGTCTTTCATAATTAAAAGCTTCAACCAAAAAAGATTCCACAGGAAATATAAATCTCAATATTTTGAGATGGACCACAGGGAAAAGTGTTCAGTTTACACTGTTTGGCTTAGTACATCTATACATCATATCTACAGGCCCATCTTGGATGCAAGCTGAGTCTAATTTCCTTAGTGCTCAGAGGGATCTGAACTTCAAGACCCAACTTCGAGCATCTTTACACAGCACTAGAAGAGTGGCATAGCATCAAGTGAAGCAAAACTTTTGACTGTGGGCAAGCTAAGCTGGAACAAACTGTAGAGGAATGTCTTTTGTGACAATGCAAGATTAAAAAACAGCATATTGTTGGGATGTAAACCAAGATGAGATTAGCCTAGAATTGCTTTTTTTCCTTTTGTGAATACAGTGACTTTTAACACACAAAACTTGTAACAACTATTTTTTGCATATGTTATGGGCACAGATGACACTAGGCATCAAAGTGGGCAGTAACCTAAATAAAGTTACACAGCGAAAATCGGTTGGAGCAAGGATTCCATGCCAGAAAAGCCAGGCTTGCCACTGTCTCCATGATTATCAGACACACAGGGCAGACAACATTTGGAGGAAAGGTGCATGGGACAGCCCCTCCTAGGGTAGCAATAACTGCCCTCAGCCTTCCCTTCTATTAGTTCCAATTACAAAAGTAAGAGACCCTTGGAAGGTGACAGGAACGACAGAGATGGCAAACAGACACTTGTAGACCATTTTTCCACCCATATTTGTATTTGCAGATTTATAAAGTGAGCAAAAGCCTGAACACCTCTTCCACAGATCATTAATTTTATGCATTTCCACAGAAAGCAATCTAATTCACAGAAAGCAAAAACTTGCTCATAATTCCATTGCAACCTCAGAGATCCACTGAAGTAAAGGAGGTTGACAGAAACGAGCAAGCGAGACCCTGTTGTCATTTTCCCTCTTCATCATTGTATTTGGTTTTATGCTTAACTGCAGCATAGCAAAAAATATTTGGAAGAAAAAATACTTACCATTCCTCAGTCAACCCTTGTTCTGAGTTTTTGTGTTACTGGGTATTACCACTAACATGGATAAGCAGTATTTTTCTTTAAAAGTTTGAGCAACTGATTTCTTGGAAAAAAAACCCAAATTTTGCTTCATTTACAAGAAGGAAGATTTTGTGCTTTAAAGAAATCTTTGGATAAAAGTAAATAGTTGATCTTCACTTTTGTTTCAGAATAGGCTGCTCTGCTTCTGCAAGATCCCAGAACCACAGCCATGGCTTGTTACTTATTTCGGAAGACACTTCACACTGTAACAAAGCAGTGAGCAGTTTGCAATCAGCATGACTGGCTTTACAGATTGAGAAACCAACCCAAAACTGCAAAAGATACTTGTAGATCTGGAAAGGTGAATAATTCTTCAGTTATACAAGACAGAAAGAGACCTGGCTTAAAAAAAAAAATCACCAGTATGATAATAAGTTTATTTCTATTGTTCTCATGATGCCTCTGCACCAAGTAATTACAGAATTGCTTTTCAGATTTAAAGCAGCAACGCAGAAGCCAACAATAGAGAAAAATGAGAAGTAGATTTGAGCCACAGCACTTTATCAAAAATCATTATGTGAACTTTGGCAGAACTTGGGATGCTTCAGGTTCAGGGGTTTCTTTTAGGCTTGTGTGTGTGTGAAGAACAAAGCCAGTAGCAATTACAATCTGGGAAATACATTCTTCTTAAAGAGAATTTTGTAGCAGTTTTTGTACAGAGTTAGCCATTAAGCTACTGGAGAGTATTAAACAGTGACAGAATAAACGCAGCAAATAGACAAAAATATGAAACTAAACTTTGAACTGAGAAGTTTAAAATAATCTCAGTAAAATCTGTGAACTAGTCATTTCCTCACTGTATTACCAAGGCCAAATTGTCACTAAGTCCACATTGTAGAAGTGCCCAGTACAGTATTAAGGGTTTTGCAAATAGAGAGAAGTATAATTACACCCCTGTTGAGCAAGTACAGTTCTTTCATCACACATACAAGAAAAAATGCAATAGACAAGAACCCTGTAATTACATTCACGATATTTCAAAAAAATCAAAAGCTAGGGATATTTCTGATTATTTTTTTAAAGGTCATGAAATAGTCACATAAAAGACAAATTGCACTTTATTAAAAAGACCATGCTCATTTCCCAGCTACCAGCTTCTTACTCTGAAAGTACCAAATCTATTTCTGAAACTGGAGAATTCTCAGTAAGTCTCAGTGTTTCAAATTCGGTTACGGCAAAAAGTTTCACTGCTGTTCCCTTTGGGCAGAACAACCACCCTAATACTTGTCCACTCCTTTGACTTCTCACTCAATACACCGTTCATCACAATGGACATTTGTTCTACTGGCTTGTTTGCTCCTGGTAAATAAGGAATAAGTTCTGTTTTATATACTTGAAAATTTTGAACAAACATTTTGTATTCCTTAATGAAGCATTTTAACATAGAACAGAAAAACCAAGCTATTTCAGAGAGCTGGGGTCTCCTGTGGTATTATACAATATCATACAGTACAGGACATTGTTACAAGATGTACAGGAGCCAAAGGTAATGAGGTATGTTGATCAGGTACAACCTATTCCTTTCTTCAAAAAGCTATTAAATTCCACACTTTCAAAAAAAGGCATGTAACTGCAGCAGTTCCTCATGCAAAGCATGTCACAGAGGGATCAAAGAGGTCAAGTAAATGCTTCCTAATCCCTCTAGATGGCAATGCTTCCAGATCAGAAACTCAAATACTGCAGAACCATCACAGATAATTTCCCTTGGTTACACAATATTCTCAGCCTTGATGAAGAGTTCATTGGCATACTTCTCTTCCATGTTTTACAATCCAACGTGAATACCCACTTGCTTTTTCCAAGACAACTACTGAATGCAGACAGCCTCACTCAACAGAATACCTCCCAGTGGGACATCGTTTTAAAGCCATAAAACTCGTTTCCAGTAATCCTCCTCTTCCTAGGGTACACTTGCAAAAGTTGAACTGATTTTTCTGGCTCAATTGGCGTCAACTTAAAATTGTTATTTTTATCTTATCACTAGTAATAGTGAAACAGGCAGGTCCAAACAACCCTTTCTAAGCCATTTTCACATGAAGATACCACGGCTATAACCCCCAAGGCAACTTCCACTGCCCGAGGCTCATAAGCTTACGAATAGTTTTCGTTGCGTTAGCCTGACAACTCAAAAGAGGGACAATTACTTGCGTGTCCAGATCTGCTGCTAGTGGTGGGCAAGAACTCTTTATACTCCCACTAGGACTCCCCTCCTTTAGCCTTACCCTTGCAGAGTATCTAGCAAGCATCCACATCTGGAATGACTGCAGTGTACACTGGAGTTGAGGGACAAGGAGATTCAGTTCATGCAAAAGACGCCTGTTAAAGTGACCTTTTTACTCTGAATGACAGGCACTGAGGCCACGTCTCGAGTTACATCAGGAGAAGAAGAAACTCCCTGACACAAAAAAGTATAATTACTACGGAAAAATGCAAAGTAACCGCCTGCTGGTGTGAATCACTGTTCTTGCCTCAAGTCACCTAATGGAAGATGGAGAAAGAGGAAAAGTTAGGTGATAGAATTATTCTCCCATATCACAACTCACACAAAATCTATTCTTTTTTGTAAGTTTACAGCTTGAATATCAACAATTCCCAGACTTTGAGTCAGCATGACAGAATAAGAGGATAACAATTTTAAGTACATAGCTCTGCCCTGGGAGGAGGCAGCCTTTTTCCAGTGTCGAATGGTTCCTTCACTTGCCATCATTTGGTTTTGGGTGAGCCATTACAGACCATAGCTGAAGGTAAACAGGCAGCTTAGAGCACAAATAGTGAGGACAGTGAGTGAATTCTTAGCATGTCCTGTTTGATGCAGCAGAGCCCACCTTTAGTGAGTCTGTCAAACCAACAGGAAGGGTGAAGAACTTTCCTAGGCTGGAGCACTCCTGAGGGACTTAAATCATACACTTCTGTGGCTTTAGTAACTCTGGTCAGATGCAAGAAAGACCTTCCAGGTCAACTGAAGCTCCATATATCTGTGCAGTTTCTGAATCTTGCAGATGCAATTTTATAACTTTGCCATTTCTGTGTATTAGCCCCAGGCAAATACATATACATATGCAAATACACCAGGGGTGTTATTTCAAGTATTAAAAAAAGACAAAGCCTGTGTTTGCACTACATGGAATCTGACACAAAAATACATGTTCCTGTTAGTACTGTAGGGGTGAAGCAAATTGTTGCCTTAATCCAGTCCTTCCCTACATCAAGTAAAACTGTTTTGGCAAGTCATAATCAATTTAATAGTCTATGCAACTTTTATGCAGAGACATA